ATTAAAAAAAAAAGTTTAGCGTAAATGAACAACAATCTTTTTGAGCATCTGAAGTTAAAATGTTGATAAAGTTCATAAAAATCACTAAAATTGTCAAATTATTTTGAGTTAGAAATTCATAAATTGTTTTCTTTTATATCTAAGCTTTGTAGATTTATACAGGATGCTCTTTAAGTTTTACTAAATTTAACAGAAAAATATACAACATTTACCCGAAAGTCAAATTTATTTGTTAGGAGCGTTTGAAATTGGACATTGCAGGATACTCCCCARTAAATTAACAAATTCTCATACTACGATTCTCTTATTTTGTTGATAATCAAAAATATTAATTGTAGCCTACAATTTGTAGGTAGGTACTTTTTTTATCATTTTCTATAGGTACATGATAAATTTTCTTAGTTCAAAAATCTTGTCGATTTTGATATATTTCAAAAAGCTATATCAAAAGGTTTTAAATATTATGTAAAATACATGATTGCTGTTTTAAAATTATGTGGTAGTTTAATTTAAAAACAATAACGATACGATAGTAAATATTAGGTACCTGCTACGTTTTACAATAGAATGAGATTTTTTTTTATCTGTCATAATCTGTTTGACCAGTAAAAATGAATGAAAAATGAATTTTTTGTCAACTTTTGAACTTAAAGCACGTTTAAAAAAACTGTATGACCATGAATTTTTAATATTGGTATATGAACAACGTATGTTAGATTTTGTGTTTTTGTAATAAATTCATTAATACACACGTGTTTCGTAAGTAKTTTGTACATATATGATATAACTCAGGCCCTAGCTATAACTTATTAGTTATTATACCTTTTTAATTCATTTAARTTTGTCGTAATTTAATACTCAAAAAACGACAAAATGTAAAAAAAAACTAATTGCGTTGTTTGGAGTTCCATTAGTTGATTTTTTTTACTTTACAATCATAATAATGTTTACAATAATATAGAAAATTAAAAATATAAAAATAATTATATTTACCGGAGCACGCGAATGTGATTAATTATAAACTCGAGGCGGCGGTATCTCATGTTTCGACAACGGTGGCCGTGGTCTGTCGCCACAGTTAACTATTATTAGACGCGTGCGCGGGAGACTCAAGTGTTGCCGGCGATGAGTCTAGCCGGTACCTATACCGACTGTACGTTGAACATTTAAATTTATTGGTACGAACGCGCCGGTTCACGCATAGGTATATGATTATTTATCTATTATAAACATTTCATTTTTATACTTTTATCGATTATAACAATATGCGACAATAGACCATACACCACAATTTTGGTGTTTCGTTACCGGTAACAGCTGACAGGTAGGTCGTAGATGTATTCAAAAAATACTAGACACCTAATTCTATGTTTCATAATATTATTTCTAAAAAATATCGAAGCTAATCAAAATATTACCAATATGGCAATAATATGTATTAAATTTCTTATCTCAAACTTATGAATGAATGCTTAAAAAATATGACGTTGAGCCATCATGATAAACTGACAAATACTCTAATGTATATTAATTGTATTAGGTACCATACTATATGGATTATACATAATTTGTATAGATGTGTAGTACTTGTAACTTACACTTTTTGTACGGGCAATACTTGTATTTTATCCAAATTGTTTTTGTTTTTTGTATGACTTAGTGATAAGTGGYTAGTTGTACTGTACTACTTGTACACAATATATAGTGTTGGTAGGGTAAGTATTGGTTGAACCAAGTKTTAGAACTTTTACTTGTAGAAAGTACCTACAGAATTGGTCAATAGAACAGAGGCGTCAAAGCGCCATAGACCAGGATCAAAATTTAGGACAAGCCCGGTTATAATAATTATTTTAATTTATGGAGGTACATATTATTTTTTTTTTAACTTTTTATAACATTTTATGTYAATAGACAATTTTTAATACTAATAAAAATTTATAATTTGTAAAATTATGTTCAAATATTCAAAACAGATTATTTTTGTAATTTWAAAAGATATAGTCCCGTATTCTCGTATTTTATGTCTGGCCATCCAACACTAACGTCTAGTCTATACAGTACACATCAACAGTCAACACACCGTAATAAATGATTAATATCAAAAAATCCATATTTTATAATCTATATTCATCATCTTATATCATAAACATCGTCAAATTCTGGACGATTGTCAGCGGTGAACAACCAGTGACAAACGTACAAATAACAATTATTTCGGGAATATTGTATATTATTATTTATTTACTATTTTTAGTTGTCACCCGATAAGCAGTATGTACTGTGGCCACAATTATTCACTTCAAAAGGAACCATCAGAAGTCAACTGATCGATTTCAGATCTATCTAAGGGTATCTATATAATGGTAAGAAAACTTAGAAAAATAAGAAAAGTTCATGATTGACACAAATGTTTTTCTTAAACTCTGGATTTGTACAATTTAATTTTAGTGCGGGCCACATTAAATTTGTTAGGGGGACGCATGTGAATCGCGGACCGCGTAGTGGGGACCGTTGCTCCAGGTGGACAATATGTAGTATTGTAGTTTTTATAAATCTGTGCTCTTATACATGTTACATATATGGATAAAGTAGTATTATTTGATGCAATATACCAGCTGTAGAAGATTATAATCATTCGCATGCAGCACGCCAATCAGATACCGAGACACGTATTTAGGGAGTGTTAAGGGGATTGGGCCAGCGGCGTAAATACGGTGATTCACAACAATCCACTTCCACCCCCCTGATGTTATGTAACAATCGCAAAGATATGATTTTGCACCTGCCAAAGCTAAACATTAATCCTAATAAAATATAATAATGTTTTATTGATTTCTTGAATTTTGTAGTAAAATATGACACAACTGAACAAATAATAAAATAACGTTGAGAGAACGTCGTACCCTCGCGCATATTTTGTCTCCGTTTTACAGAAATACGACATGGCGAATTTTCGTTTACTAGTTTCAATAGTGTGTTGTTAATTTTTATATTGARTGAATATTATATAAAACGTTTAGGTAACAAAATCATAATATTATGTGTTCTCCCGTAAGTATTTCACGATATTTAAATGATTAAGTGAAATATGAGCATTTAAAAATATTAATACTATACATTTACATATTAATAATTCACTTAAAATGTTAACAGGGCCGTAGCTATGAATTTTCTATGGGGAGGGCCCATACCCCTTTAATGCTATCTCTTAAAATAATTTCATATTAACCACATATAGGTAGTAAAATGCATTCACTAATTAGAATTCATTTGTCTCTATTTTGTTTCATTATTTAAATTCTTATAAATTATCACAATGTACTATAGGCACTATACTATAAATTTACTATAATATTATATAAAGTATTTATTCAGTTTAAAAAAAAAAAAATAAACATTTTAAATTTTCGAATATACTAGACATTTTTACATTTTCTACTTCGTTAAAGGGGGGGAGGTTTGAACCCCTTATAAACCCTCCCCGTAGTTACAGACCTGAACTTTAATATCGTAAAAAACAGATGATGTTCTTATCAAACAGTTTGATAATAGGTCAATTCATTTTAATATTAAAACTAACAGCACATTATTAAAATTGGTGAACAAAAATTTGTAAATTTGTTATGTTGTACATGTGTAAGACGGAGATAACACATGCGGTTGCGTTGCAACGACATCCTTTTATGTAATAATTTTTTTATCAATTAAAGCACTCATTATCATAAAATACAAAATAGGTATATCCTAAGTTTTAACAAAATAACATTTTTTGATTGATTTAATTAATACTTCTTGTATTTTTATATGTATTTACAGATTCTTAGAATATTTTTAGGAATAAGTAATAATATTTAAAACCAACTAATACAATTTTAGCTTTTTAGTATTGAATAATATTTAATGTTATTGGCAAAATAACTTGTACTCAGTATCTACTGGAATCAACGTGGAAGATGGACTGAGTACCTACTATACCTACTTACTTTTTCAGGTTCCTACTTATTATTTTTSAATTGATGTTTGTGTTTTTAAACTTTTTAGGTAGTACTATCCTAATCAATAATTCTTGTTATGTGTTTATATTTCACTTTTAGGTTATCATTGGTCGTTGTTTTGAATTTAATTTTAGTCGGTTTAATCTCTTTCTGTAAATATTCATTTTTACATTTTTTTTTTTTTTTGTGTGTCGTCTATTTGTCAATTAACTCGTAATTATTGTTATAGTAAGACTAACTAAAGTTGATAGCTCTATAATAATTGTCAAAAAAAGCTCTTCAATTGATTTATTTGCATATTTCAAAAATCATATGAAAGGAGTATAGTGTCTTAGATAACTTATTTAAAGTTTACTTTCTAATTAAATTAAATAAACAAACAAATAATGTTGAATTATTAAGTTGCAAATATATGTATTTTTGTTTAACTAAAAGATGATACCTAATAGTAGTTAGGGTCACGTAGTTCCACAGTAAAGTGAGATACAAAAATAAATTATCAATAATATATTTTTTTTAAATTAAAATTTTCTCTATGCTATTATTTTTATATATATATTATAATATTTATATTGTAGTTAAAAATATTGGCAAACTCTATATACAGTCTGCAGCAGCTGAAATAAAAACCTTGGTATTAGAGTTTAGAACTACAACCTCCTGAATATAATCTTATAATTGTATACACAAGATACTTACACTATCGCTACCTATTATGTGGCGTTAACAATTAATTTTATTRAACGCATTAACTCTGTGGATAAAAATGACGTATATATAATTATATATTATATACGTAGGTATTGTAGATTTATAAATTTTCCTGAAAAATGGGAAATGTGATGCACACCCATCAGTTACATACGTTACGTAGGCCTCTCCACGATTCAATCGCATCCATAACTACCATAATTACATCCTCGCCAGTAATATTATAAAATACAATTTATTTATTAGGGTTTCATCGCTGAGCATTGTAAATTAGATAGCATTATAGGTACTCACCCTATAGGAGGTGTAAGAGATTCGACATCGGCCAAGTGATTGTCTTCGGTCTGTAGTTGTCGCTGACGGTTCCGGCGGTTCCGCCTCTTACGGTGCTTCTTTCCACCTCCACCTCCATCACCACCGCCGCCGCCGCCACCGCCTTCGTCAACGAGGCCGCCACCGAGGCTGTCACAGACTCCACCACCGGTTTCGAACTTCTCCGATTGACGACGCCGCTCTTCGTCGTTGGGTTGATCCACGACGTCAATCGGGGTTACCAGCATTTCAGTACTCTCTTCCCAACCTGCACCACCGTATGTATCGGTCAGTAACGTCGATSACCAGCGACTAGACACGCTTGACGAATAATATATAATATATTTTCACGGTAAGTGACTGTAAATCGGTCGCGTGTAAATAGGTACCTACRGCTATAATATAATATTTTCAATAGTGCAAAAGTATAGAGTAAATAGTATCAAAAGTCAATCACATTTGTCGAGTCRCGCGCGATGATACGTATTTTTTTTTCTCGCTGTCACTGTTTTTGTTAATATTTTTATGATTTAAAAAAAATCTAAATCGGGCGCGTCGCACGCACAGGGTCCGTCCCGATCGCGAGTCAGAGAGCTAGAGAGAGAGAGAGAGAGAGAGCAACGCACGCGCTACGCCGGTGGCAGTGGCTCATGCAGTGGCGTTAGGTTTGCGACAGCGATTTAAACGGCCGGCGCCACAGACACGTTGTCGTGGCCGCCACCGTAACTTGCACACACATATTCATAAAAACACACACACAAGCACAAGAAGAGGATACGACACGAGCGCGCRCGCGCACGCCGTGCCGATGGAGGTGACTGCGGGGATGACGGTGACAGGGACGGCGGCCAACAAAAATAACTACGCCGCCGCACTAGCTGTAGGATATACAGYTCGCGAATGAATTAATGTGGTAGAGAAATCACGTGTGGATAGAATAATGATAGTAATAATAATAATAATGATAATTATGATAATAATAATAACAATAATGATAATAATAATATTAATAATAATGACAATAACAAAAGTTAAATGGAAAATAACGATAAATAGTATACAACAATATACAGCGGCACATCAGACGGAAGAGATTTATATAATTTTGTAGTTATAAAAATACGACGAGGTTGATATTATAGTGTGCTCGCAGTGGTCGTCAWATGATTTTATTACGGGAGACTGACTTTTAACATGTACTATTTGATTAATAAAAATATAATTTATAGTTATCAGATTTTAATTGTTGAAAATTAGGACATCAGGAGACCTATCCCCCACCCCCGGTTTGGCCACCACTGTGTTTCGCGATCATTATAAAAACGCCGACAAACGTTATAATATTATTATGTCTAGGGATGGTGACAGTAGTGAAGAGGAGGAAGGGCTCGATGCTTGATGTGTAAAATCGCCTACGCCACACACCATTTTATAGCGAGTTGCATACAAAACCATTTTGCGCAAAAAACAATCACTTAACTACTCAAGTTATAATTCAGAAACAACAATTATTTATGATGCAAAAGACTATTTTTTTTTTTTTGTTATAGAGTGTTTTTTAAATATAAAAAAGTTATTATTAATAGACTAAAGTCTATTAGTTCTGCGTATATCAAACTTAAATTACTGTTTTTAAAAATGATACTTATCAAAAAAGTAAAAATGCTAAGACCCATACAATTTTATCTCCTATATTATACATACATTTGGTTTCTTAACTACGAGTGTAACCTGAGAATTTTTTTCCACGCGAAACTGTTTTTTTGTATATATACCTAATCTCGTATTTAAAATATTACTGGCACGAGACCATTTATGTGTTACTCTGAATTATTATTAAAATATATTAAAGATTTATATTTTAGTTTTACTTAATATATCATTGAAACTGCCTATATAAAACCCCTTAAAAAACCACTAACTTAAAAAATAGGTGTTTATGTCATTGATTATAATATAATGTTATATATGTATATATTCAATGCTTATGCGTTTCATTGCTATAAATACACGTTTCTTCGTGATATTAAAATAAATATATCCGGATATTCAGAATTCACCAAAAAAAAAAAAAAACAATTCGTAAACAATTTTACTGGTCTAATCCACAATTCGTCAAACGTCAATAATTTGAAAAATAATTTTAATTAATAAGAAATAATTATTTTTCATGACTTAGTTTATTGTCATTTAATTTTATTAAAATAAATAAAAATTATTTTTTATGATTCATTACCTACAAACTGTGATTTTGATGAAAAATACTTTAACAAAAAGTATTATTGACGCATTATTTTCAATGACCCATCTTTTGAARCAATGTCTTTGATATAATTACTCATCGCCAAATGATAATGATTTTTATTATACAGGTGACTTCTGATAAAATGACAACTATCATTGATTTATCTCAATATCTATCACCTATAGCCTATATAAGTAGGTAAAGCTTTTAATTTTTAGCAATAATGAACGATTAAAAATAATACAATTTAATTATGTTCTGACAAGCTTATTCCGAACTTCCAAGCTATATCATGAGTCAAATATTATATTATTGTAATCGTATTTTACGATGACTCGTAGCCCATAGGAGGTTGCCGAATCGCTCCAATTCTATACAATTACAAACTTGAAACTAGTCAGATACTTACTGATCCAATCAGAATCGAAAATATAGTATTATATTTTTACAGTAGATACATTAAGAAATAATAAAATACCGTTGAGTACAATATAGGTATTCTGAATGGAAATACGCATAACTTACTCTTTTTGATTTCTCAAAGTTTGTAAGTCTTCTCGCTGAAGCCACAACAGTTTGATTGGTTCGTTGTTATTAATTATATTAGTTATTATGCAGTGTATTTCCGATTACATTTTATTTTATTTTCGAGTCATCTTGAAATACTTTGTACTTTCATTACGGTATTTCGTTGAAATGCTATCTACSATTAATTGTAATAGGTATTTTAATAATCGTAAAAATCAATTAATGTCAATCAATGTTTATTGTGTATGTGTTCAATAAACACTGTCGCAAACGCTAAACAACATGGTGTGAGGCGGCGCGGCGTTAGTACTCGGCAATCCAACGAGCAACAAGCTAGCACGCCACGCTACACTGCCCCATTATTCATTTTCTCTGTAAACACTAAGCATTAAACTAAATGTTTTAGTAAATGAGATTTATGTAATAAGTATTATTTTTTTTTTTTTAAAGTTGACTTTATTCTGATATTTCAGATAATATTAAGTATTGTTTATTATTTATGTATTTTGAAAGGTTAATATTAAATATTAAATTGAATTATTTTAAAAGTT